TATGCAATGTCCCGGATAAGAAATTTATTTACTTAGTCTCACCACTTGTAGCCTGCCTATACATCCTTCAGTTCATAGACTGCTTGGAGCCCACACGCATATGATTGTTATCAGCTCTGTAGTTGTACCTTCAGAGTAATGCCCTGACAGGTTGTTCTATTGCCAAGTGATTAGATTACCACAATAAGATTATCTTTCAAACAGAGCTCTCATACAGACAAGTCTGGACATTGAGTGCTTTCTTGAGATCTAAATAAGCTTGTCAGAAACCTTATTCATCCAGTACATTTTGGAGTACATATTAATGTAGACATTACTGAGGAAACACAAAAATCCTATGTATATGATGCATTTTTGTTACTGAGAGACGATGATAAAAGAATTCTGGTTCATGCAGTCTCCAGGATACTGAGAATCTGGTCTATCTACTTAAAGGATTAACTTTTTAGAACAACATCAAATACAGTAGTTTTACTATGGTCAGATAATTTGGCTGCATAAGCCAGTTTAAAGTGATTGTTTCCCTTCATCTTGTGCCACTTCACTCTCCAAACTCCATCTGTCCTGAATGACAATCCACCAACTGAACGTGGCAAATCCAAGATCTTTCCCATTCATACAGAAATCACTATTCAGTCTCTGAATGTACTAGATATACGCCTACTGTAATAACAACATACATAAAATAATAATTTATTTTTCTACATTTCAGTACTTGTTATAAATATTTTATTTCTACTTTTCCAACCTAATTTGCAATTCACATATATTTCCTCATATTTCTGTCGTATCTCCTTTTTATAGCCATAAGCCATATTTCTATTTTATCATTTCCTTTTAACTACTCTGGAAGACCTTTCTATATTTCAATTACCTACAGACTCACAGTCCTGCATCATAATCTTAAAATCAAAACTGATTTTGCATGTTAATTCTCACTATTATTTGAATATTAACAGAATATAAGTATGTAGGTATCTTCTGAAGTTTCCTTGTTACATCAAGGCTCTCATCCTTCATCTAGTAAAGTTGATCAAAAGCCATACTGAACCCACTGTAAGCATATACTTTGGCATAATGAAAAATATACTTCCAGCCCTTCACAGATTTTTCCTAACATTGTTCTGGTGTCAAATTAGATTTGACCTATACACATCCTGCTATTAATCTCAGAAAGTTTCCATTACAACTCAAGTATGTTGTCCTCTTCTGACTTCCATTTTTCTACTTTACTGTGCTATTTGACAAGGAAGAAGGCTCTTAGGAAGTCATAATGATCTGCAAGTTTTTTATGCCTCTTCTTTTTGTTTCTCCTACTGCTGCTGGCAACAATGTGCAAACCTTAGTACAATTGCACTTCCCATAATGAGATCTATTTTTATGTTTGAAATATGGAAACAAAGTGATCTTCATCTAATTGTATGAGGTCATATAATACAGACATGGAACCCCATGTATCTGAAAAGTTTTGTGTTTCCAAAAATTATGGAAGGAGTTGAACTCTATAGAATTATTACTAAAATCTTGGTAAAACAATAACTGACAATTTTCTAATTAGCTTCTTATTTATTTTTAGAGGAAAAATATTATTGCTGACATATTAATTATCATTATAAAAAAATTCAGTTCTATCCAGAAAGGACTTTAGGTCCTGTGCCCAGACATGCAGCATTAAGGGATGAAAGAAAATAAGCCAGCATTTAAGAAAGTAATAGGGAACAAAATAAATTAGTTCTCCATAAAGGTAATATTTTCCAAACAATATAGACTGGGTTATTTAGAAAAAGCGACACAGCTTATGTGCTACATCTAGAAAACGTAATTGAATTTGATTGCAGAACAGCAATAGCTTCTGATGGAAGACTTATTTAATTTGCCTTTTTTTAAACATGATTAATAAACATGAAAAGCCACATCTAAAAGTACAACTGATTTAGCAGTCATGTAAAACCTGTAACAAAACAAGTTACAGTATAGTTTTTACGGGTCTCAGAAAAAGGATCAGAAATAAAATTATGGTTAAAGAACGCTATAGAAAAGTGATGTACAGATCAGAAGAACATGTAGGAGACAAGATGAGAATTAAATTGCTATCTCTTCTCCTTCAAAAAGCATAGAGAGAGAAATACTTTTATCAAAAAAGCAAAATATTTGTATAATTTGGATAAAACAGTATAAATTTAATGGGAAAAAAGAGTTTCTGATAATGGGTATTTAGCCTTAACTGAGAAAACCACCTCAAAAGTCAGAGAAAAAACCTTGGTTGAGTTGCCAAAAAAAGTAGGAGTAGTTAGACTATATCTAGACAAGGTCCACGTTCCTTTGTACTTTTTAAACAGCTGGTAGATACAAGTTTGGTTTAAGAAAAAAGAGGATGACAAACTGTACTATCAGAGACATACAGTGAAAGTTTTTATAGTAAGAATTATAACTTTCTTTCATAGCACTGTCTTAAAAAAATGCATACCGACCTAGGCTGCCTTAATCTGTTCTCTCAAAAGTACTCTGGCAGGGTAAAGCTGCCTCACAGTATATGCTTGTACTCTCATTGACAAGGGTGACCAATACAACTCTGCTACAAGAGTATCTTACGGAGATCATCTTGCAATTAAAAGAAATACAAAATAAAAGCAAGGGGTAGGAAACTTTGCGTTAAGATTTAGATAACGGAAGTAAAAGTCAAGCAGATACTCTTGCTCTGTAACTGCAGAAAGAGTGAAAGAGACCCTGTGATACTACAGATGCTGTCCATTCACTAGGACAGGGCGAATACAAGAGATGGAGAAAGGTTTAACTGTGTGCAGAAAGGAACCTCTGAGCCCATCAGAAAATCAGTTCCTTATTCCTGCTTATTTCCCATTTCTTCAACAATATGTTCAATCCATCAAGGCTTTCTCTTTGCTCCCTACAAAGCTCTGTGATACACATTAAGCTTGGTGGCAGGAAGCATCTCTGCTCAAAGGGGCAAGAGTCAACTGCAATTCTAACAGATCTGTCTAATAAAGCAAAAAGTTAAATCTTTTTTACTCTTTCCTTGAATAATAAAGTAGAAAAGAGTTAACACAGTTAAACAAAAAAGCTAAAGTAACAATGGAAGGAATAATAAGTATTTTAAATTAAATCAGCCAACTGCCTAATTTTAAAGTGACAGACTCTTAATAGGGAAAGATATGGTTGCAATATCTCTAAAACAAAAAGCACTACTGATTCCATATATTTCTTATCTGGGAAATAAATTGATATCTGGATTAACACAGTGTTTCTACTATACCTTTTTCCCTGAAATAGGCTGCCTATATAAAAATTTACAAATAAAATGTTACAAAAATAGTCAATGAGAAGCTGTCCACTTAATCTAACAAGTTTTTATTAATCAAGAATTTCTTAGACTGCCTTATGAAAATTTTTTTTAAAAGATGTTTATTCTTCTAAAATGAGAAAAAATCATATACAAACAATCCCATATTGTCATAGTAGTCTATAAATGCCCATGAAATGGGCATACTTTAGAAAATTATTATCAAAATGAATCATTTATTGGACCTATTCACAGTTGTTTCCAAAGAGACACTATTGATTGCTACATAAGAAAATAAAATAATTTCATTGTAGTACCACACTTAAATAACTACATATGAGAGTTTAATTTCCAAATAAGCACAGCTTATATTTGCTTTTTGATATTCATTTTTTGTTTTACTTATTCTTCAATGATTTCTTTCCTACATTCATCCTAAAGGCATCATGATAATCAAAACACATGCCTGAGAAAAATAAACTAAAGAAAAAAATTCTGGTTGATGTTTGACATTATGATGTCTTGCCAGGTTTCATCAGTCATATCATGTCATGTAAAGTAATGCAGTCTGATTGATGGAGCTCACAGGGACGCACAATTTTTCATGTTTAATGGAAAATTTGAAGGTATCACAGAATCTTCAGATAAAAATAGTACTTATGGTGCAAAAAGTTTGATTACAGAATAATTACCATGACATCTAAAACTTATGATCACGTTTCTCAGTGGCAGGAAATCTAATTCTTAGTGTCATTTGTAAGATGTTTTATTTTTCAACTTTTGATACATACTTTGAAATCTCTTATGTCAATTTTATATTTAAGATTAAATTTCTCAGCATTTAATATTATGACTGAGTTTGAATCTTAGCAGGATTCAGTATGATTCTCTTTTTTCACAGTACACATGACAGATTCTGCTTTCCTAGGGATGGCTGAACAGCTGACTGCCCATGGAAAGAAGTGAATGGATTCCTTTTTTCACTTTGCTTGCGTGTGTGACTTTTGCTTTACCAGTTGTTGAACTGTCTTTATCTCAAACCATAAGTATTTTTAATTTCACTCTTTCAATTCTCTCCCCCATCCCCACTGGCAATGGAGCGAGTGGCTGTGTGAGGCTTAGTTGCCAGCTAGGGTGAATCCATAACAGTAATATCAAATGACTTATATATATATATATATCTAGTAATGACAACTATTTTTCTTACTTTCTTGAACAAATGCTCAAGTCAAGACAAGATTTCTATTCACAATGGTTCAGCTGAGCCTCATGAAGTAAAGCAGAGAACATACTGTTAATTCAGATGGAAGTTAGACTTGATACTTTGTATATATAGAAAAAACAAAGGTCATAGTATATGACAATAGTTTTTATTATTGTGAAGGAGCATTACCTGAACAAATGGTATAGGTACTACAAAACAATGCTTAATGGTAACATATAAAAAAGCCAAATCACAATGGTAAGTGTGATTTGTATCACAGTTGATCCTGCAGACTTTAAATTCATATCTGCCTTTAGAGGAATTGATTTTTAGATTATGCAGCATCTTTTGGTTGGTCAAGCAATCACTGATGATGAGAAGAATTTTTCCTCTACAAGGGATTAAAATTTTGTAGAAGATTAGTTGTTTAATTATTACTAAAAATATTAAAAAATATATACTGTTTACATCTATTTAGACACTTTATCGTTACCATACCTGTTACTTTCAGTCTGTCAGCTCCAATGACAATCTCATCTTCATCTGCAGAAAACAATACTTTTCCACCTTCACTTGCTCTCACTTCAAATCTCTTACACTGAGCCTCCACAGCATCAGCTCCTGAAATCAAGTAAGTTATTGTTTCATCTAAGATATTTTGTAAGAATTAAAATAAACATCAGCATACATGGAATACCCAAAACATATCGACTCCATGAGGCTTTGACAAAATACTGGGCTTTCTGTAAGCCTGATAGATAATTTGCATTATAAAATACTGTTAAAATAATTTGCAGAGTGTCCATTTCTTTATTTAATATCATGATAGAATTTAAAGTAATTATGAAAAACATCTATTTCAGAGTTGTGCAGAATTCAATACTAAAATTTAGAATGTACTTAAACACTGAGATCTTGAAATGCCAATTCAGAGAGAACTTTCTGGGGTTTGTTCAGTTTAAATTGCAGTCTTGTCAATAGAAAAAAAAAAAAAGATAACACGTTAGCCTATTCCATAAAGACAAACAAAGCAATGCAGCAGAAAAAGGTATTTTTCATTCAGCTCTACTTCAAACTTAAACAGAGGAATAACAAAACAAAACAAAAAAAATCAAGATATCAAAAAAGATGAACTGAGATATCACAATTTATGTCATATTTTATGAAAGAATATTCCCAAATATCTCAAAGATCAAAAACTCTAAAATAACTCTAATTAGACAGACATATAGAATTGATCTAACTCCAATAAAAAAGGTTGCAGATATCAAAACTCTTTTAAATTTATTATGCTTTTAAATTTACTGGTCTTATCCTTACTCTTCAGTGTTTTGTCTACTAAATTCTTTCTGAAAATGGTGTTGAAAAGCAATGAACTGCATATGGCACAACCAGATGTAAGGCAAGATATAAGGTTTCAGGGAATAATTATCTGAAATTTTCTCACTGATTCCTAATTTGAATTGTAATGTACACCTGGAAGCAATCTATATGGGTAAAAATTATGGGGAAGGCCTTAGGGACAAAGAAAACCATGTATATCATTTCACTTTAACAATCCGGTTTATAGGTTTGTAAATTCTCCTGCTTCTCTAATATAGAAGTTTTCAGGTTAATATGCAAATGTACATTATCAAAATATGTAATAAAATTAAAAAACTGTAATAGCTAATTTTGGACAAGGAATTGCCATAACTGCCCTTAATTTGCAGAATCAGATAAGAAATCGAAACAACAATTCCTCTTACTTTCACATGACCTTATGTTTGTACTGCAAAAAATTTCTGGCTATCTTTAATTTATGAAAGTAAAAAGAATATGAAAAGGAACTATAAAAATACTTGTGATGTCCCATTTTGTTGAAATTAGACATGTTTATTCTGTTGTAAGTGTGTAAAGTGGTATTTTTCCTCCACTCTCTCTACAATTATACTTTTTTAAAAATGTGATAAACAGATTGTTGGCTTTGTTTTGAAAAAATACGAAAATTTTGTAAAGACAGACGGGGCAGATTTCAGATAATCTAATGTCAGCCATGGGATAAATGCTACACCTCACAAACATTCCAGAACGCTTACTAATAAAAAGGTATAATGAAGTCTAATAGTCTATCAGGTAAATGTATCACAATATATATTCATAAATATATATTCTGTCTTACAAAATTCATCCATTACTCTTAAATACCTTGAAAAGGTCAGTGATGATGTCCTCGATAGGGGTGCCCCCTAGGCACATTTGAATTATTTGTTTAAAATGCAATCATTTAGCTAGTGATGCATGTTAACAATACAGTTTAGTAGGATACTCTATTCTCTTGCACTGTGTCACAGGTAAAGATATCTTTTTAAAAAGCTATCAAAAACATGTTAATATTTACTTTTTATATGAGTGCTTCTTTTATGAAACCCAGTGAGAAGATGCTTTATCAGACCTCTGCTGAGTTCAACAGGCAACAGAAACACATAAGGAAATTAAGACATCAATTTATCAATTTTTTTCAATTTTACTCCTTAGTTTGCATATAAGTTAAGCTTACATATTTTTCTGCAAAATAATTACATTAAAAAATAAACCATGCTGCTGTTGACTCTATCCAGTTACTTTATGAAATTGGGATAACCACATAACTCAAATTACTCTAAGAACTGCATTAAATTATTATATTATTCTTTAATTCATTTGAAAGAGGGAGAAATTATAATAAATTATAGACTTTTAAAAATACTTGTAGAAATTATAGATGACCTTTTATAGATGACTTCTGAAGGTTATGTGATCCACTGATAATTTACACACGGCTATGATTCAATGCTCAAAATGATATATGATAGTCATGAGCAAACACTGTTCACGACAGTAAAACCAAGGTGTAATCCTCTTTAAATACCATTGCACAAAAATATTTATTCCAGAATGCTTCTCATGGTTCAGAATGGGAAGACTAGGAGAGGCTAAAAAGATAAATGTTTTCTTGTTGAATACAAGTGCTTCCAGAAATGTCATGACCTCATGGTTCAAAGGAAGATGTTCAAGATACCATCAGAGTTGAAGCTAATATTATTTATGACAAAATAAATGGTAGCTTCATATTTGAAATAAGAATGCATGCTGGTATTTAAGCACTTATTTATAACTGGAATAACATTTGTGCCCTCTCTGTGTACCATTGATATTTTACCACTGTGTCTTTTGGAGGGAGAAAAAAGAAGAGCCTGTTACTGAGTTGTTCATGTTGCCCTAATAAAATCATAGACTAAAAGGTTCAAAATCAAATAGCATAAACATTTACATTTTACATAAGCCTTTTACAATGTCTAGCTTTTATTCTTTGCTACATATTTTCTTACTGCTTCTGTTGAATTTTTTTCAGAATTTAAATAAGTTCTGATATTATCAAAACATTCAATTTTTGATACTCTTTTGGAATAGTGTTTATTTTTGGTTTCAAAATATTTGTTCTTAATTATGAAATATTTAAAAGACATACAATTAAAAGGCATTAATTTAATACAAAATTTATGAAAGCCATATTAAAAATTACCCAAAATATATCACTTTGGGGAAAAATCATAAGCAATCATTTTTCCTGATTTAGTCAAAAGTTTGATTTCAAAATCTCAAAGCCCTTCTGGAATTGTTTAATTTTCAGTCATTTTCTAAATTTTATTCCATTCTAAGGCCTTAGAATACACTGCATTGCACTTCACAAGGGCTGCATTTTGAACTGTTATTGAAAAGCACAGGTAAGAATTCTGTTGTAGAAGTAAATTTCAAAATGCTCCACTCAACTCATTAGGAAAAAAGAAAAGATACAATACAACCAGTGTTTATTATCATGGCCCTGGAGACTGGCTTTTTAACAGTGATGGGTTGCAAAGTGAGGAGTCTACCACAGTGGACTTTATTCCCAGTTCTCTACTTCATTCCCTATAGCAGTGCAGGGAGACAGGGAATGAGGGTTATAGCCAGTTCATTACATGTTATTTCTGCTGCTTCTTCCTCCCCAGAGAGAAGAGTCCTAACTCTGCTCCAGCATGGGGTCCCTCCCATGGAAGACAGTCCTTCACAAACTTCTTCAACGTGAGTCCTTCCCATGGGCTGCAATTCTTCACAAACGGCTCCAGTGTGGGTCCCTCCCTTGGAGTACAGTCCTTCAGGAACAGGCTGTGCCAGGGTGGGTCTCCCACAAAGTCAAAAGCCCTACCAGTAAACCTACTCTAGCATGGGCTCCTCTCTCCACAGGTCCTGCCAGGAGCCTGCTCCAGCACAGGATTGCCACAGGGTCGCAGCCTTCTTTTGGGCATCCACCTGCTCTGACATGGGGTCTTCCACGTGGTGCAGATGGATCTCTGCTACCACATGGACTTCCATAGGCTGCATGGGGACCACCTGCTTCACCATGGTCTTCACCACAGGCTTCAGAGGAATCTCCTGCCCCTCCTTCTGCACTGATCTCGGAGCTGCAGAGCTGTTTCTCTCACATATTTTCATTCCTCTCTTCTCTGGCCACAAATATTTCTCTGCAGTAACTTCTTTTTCCTTCTTATATATGTTATCACAGAGGTGCTGCTACCATTTCTGACTGGCTTGGCCATGGCCAGCAACGGGTCCATCTTTGACCGGTTGGCATTGGCTCTGTTGGACACACTACCAGAACCTTCCCACACAAACCCAATACAGAATGTTAGAGATGTCCTTGTCCTGCAACCATACTTATGGTTCAGGAATCCAAAGGATAATCTCAAATAACTTAATACTTAATAGTTTTATCTTTATTTAAGAGCTAATGATTGCTTAGGTACCTAAAAATAAGTGGCATTATAAGTACTGTATGCTGCTATTTTACACCCATCAACGTTGTTGCTCCTAACAGAAAATGTGCCGGAAATCAAAAAAAGACCTGCCACATTATTACTCTTTATATACCACTGCAAATGACAGCCTGTGTTTTGATAACTCCTTTTAAAAACTTGCAGTGTATTTAGGGTTATATAGGTTTTCGTGAAGAATGACTTAAAGAACAATAATCTGGAGCTTCGACAAAGAAATACATATGTTTCAGATGTCCAGCATTTGTGCCGCTTCAGCATCATATTATATAAAAGTACACCTAGAATTCAGCTAGTCCAATATATCATTACAGGAGGTAAATATATTTTTTTATTCTAAAATAAATGGGCTTTCACTTTATGTTGCACTCAGGACTTAACAGTGCTCGGTATTACTTACTTATTGCTGCAAGAGTGGTTAGTGTATTCAAGCCACTTGAGAGATTACTAACAAAACATAATACATGTTAAATCTGTCTCTTTGACGTAGAACCAGATGAGAATGTTATAAAACTGGTTTTGAAAAGTTAAACTGCCTACAGAGTAATCAATGCTATCAAAATGGAATTCTGTTTCATTACATTTTCATTTCCCAGTTGAAATAAGATCAAGCAGTTGTATTTGCAGTATATTAGTGTATTATCTTCCTAGCTGTAAAGCAAATTGCTGTGTTCCAACAACATAACAAACATACACATCTCATACAATGTCTGAATCCTTAACTATACTACTAACAAAAATGATGTATCATCTCTCAGAATAGCATGCATGAACAAAGGACATATTTTG